CAGTGGGACTTATATTCATTGTGCCGACAGTGGCTTGGAAAACCGCCCATAACCGTGTCACACGGGGAAAAGGGTAGGCGGCTGGAGTTCCTCCAACATTTGCGGTTAGATTATCATATATTTTTATTGACAAAAATATAGGCTGCTTCAGCTGGTTTTTTTTATGCGCACATGTGCCCCTAAATATTTTTTACAGTTCACACACACGCATTTTTAGTCGAGTGAGACGCTCGCACTGATCTGACAGCCTGAGCACATCGGCACAAAACGCTACGGTGTTCGAGATATTATTTATATCATGAGAAGTCAATACTTTCGGCAGCCTAAATCTTTTATTTAGAAATTATGGCAGGTCAAATTAAACTATGGCGGGCCGCCATAGTTTCGTTAATTAATGGGAAACACTGGGCATATGCACACACTTCATACAGTTACCCAGTGTTTCCCATACAGTGATTTATTTATCTCCTGCTGTCTCTCTATGTCTGTTTACACAAATGGGACAAAATTTAGATAGCTAGCCAACTTGGCCGTCACTGACCATTTTAAGCATTTTTCTGTTGTTATAGCGCCACCCAGGTGCCAATTAGAGTTAAATTTCTCCAGTCACCTTGAGGCGTCCTGTTCTACATATCTACCAAGTTTAGTAAAAATCGATATGGCGGTTCGGCCTAGATAAGAAATTAGCTCTCTAGCGCCCCCATTTTGTTTGATGGGGTCAATAATGGAGGGGTCCCCTCAGATTATGTGTGGTCATATGCCTACAAAGTTGCGTGGTGATCGGTGAAACCCTTGAGATGTTATACACCTTTATGTGATGAGCCATGCCCTCCGCAATATTCATTGCCTTATAGAAGCTCAGTTTTAGTAAGTTTTTCAAAAAATTCAAAATGGAAGAAAATCTATATAACCGGAAGTTATGGGTTCTTGAGGCAAATTTGTTCCTCATGAGGAGAGGCATCTCTTTGCAAAGTTTCATGTCTCTACGACATACGGGGCATGAGATATGCCCATTCAAAGTTTGCAATTTCAGTCATTTGCTATAGCGCCCATCTTTGGCCAAGTGATGTAATATTGCTTCATTCGCATCCTCCCATGACCCTCTACCACTGTGCCAAATTTCACATGGATTGACCAAGTCAGTGAGGAGAAAAACGTGGAACAGACACACGCACAGACAGACAGACAGACAGTTTTCGTCATTATATAGATAAGATAAGATAAGATAAGATGTATGTGGATGGCATGTATGCAGTTCCTATGCATTTGGCCATAACAAAGTAAAAGACACCCTGAATAAAAGTGCCCACCAAACAGCAAATGAAGCTTTAGCTCTTAAACTGAGTAGCTAGATTAAAAAAAAAAATGCCATAATTGGCATAATTAGCTGAGAATGTAGGAGTTCTGGCAACAGCTGGACTAATTCTAACCCTGTCGTGTCTTCTTTGTCTGTCTTTCTCTCCATCTTGTATTCTTGCTTCCTTTTACACCCACAGACTTTGAGGATCTGTTCGATGACGATGACCTTCAATGATGACGGCATCTGAGCACTTGCGTGTTGCTGTGAACGTGTGCATAAGAAAAATCGTGATATTGGGCTTTTGCTGACTACAAGTTCTCTCTTATTTGTACAGCCCTCTCCTCCTTTATGTCTGTCATCACTGTACTGAAATAAAGACTTTTTGTTTTTACTAAAAGAAAAGCTGTCGTGGTGAACCAGGTGTCTGTGAATTCTGAGAATCTCTTACATTCCAGCTTTAGAGAAAATTATGAGTATGGTTTTGGCGTCGTCGTGTTTGAATCTGCTCCTGGCTGGATTGCAGGTTTGTGGGCTCTGCGAAACACCTGTTAGCAAACTTAATTACACACAAGATACAGTGTTAACATGAGCACTAAATGTTCAGTTGGGGCACGATGGGACAGGAAAGGGGCTGCAAAAAATGTGGAAATGCTAAAAAATACAGAGCAAATAAAGTGTGCAGGTGTAGACTCTACAGGGATCATAAATAGGAAAAACGGAAAAACTGTGACTTTCAGATTAGAATCACTTCTTATGCTCCTTCAGCTATTTGAATTGACTGTTGCGTGAACTTTGGAGTTCAAATGACATTTTAATGTATTTATTTATGACTTTCCCCGAGGTGATGCAGCACATAAACCAGCTGCATGTGCAGGCTTAAAAGATAAGACTAGGGAAAATAGTTTAATGTGTATTTACACCACACATGCACATTAGACTTGTAAATGTATTGCTGAGTTTACCACAATGACAGACAGAGAGAGGGCTGATCAAAGCAGGTGATAACAGAAGAAGCTACAGTCCAGAGCCAAAAGTATGTTTGCCTCATTATTGTAATTATTATCCTCTGATGATTTTCCGCAAGATTTAGGAGCCTGGCTGAAGAGATTTGCACCCATTCAGCGATGAGAGTATTAGTGAGTTCATCCCAAGGTTGTTGGACATGGTTGAGGTGCAGACCAGTCAAGTTCCACCACACCTAACTGGGAAAACTTACTTTATGAAGCTGGCTACGTGCACCAAGTTATTGTAACGTTAATCCTGGAAACAGCCTTCCTCAAACTAGTGCCTCAAAGTTGGAAACACATTGTGTCCTGTAGCACTCATAGAACTTGTCGGGCCTTAAAACATTTTCTCAGCCAGCTTCTTTCTATGAGCAACAGATACCCACATGAACACAAATGATAACTTTTGTTTTTGCCTATGCTCCTCTTACTGGTTTAGAGTGGCTGTGGATTGGTTGGTAAAACTGGTGATATCTGTGCACCAGTCAGAATCTAGCTATATTCGAATCAAGATGAGATTACACACCTGCGTACTCCTGAAGTACTTGAGATATAATAAACTTTTCAAAACTGGTAACTGTTGCTTTTTTAGTCATAAATATTTAATGGCATAGACAAAAACACAAACAATTGCAATTAAGGGGACAAGCCATACACTGTATGAGGGTGGAGCTGATAGAGACTTGTCAATCACAAGGTAGCCTCGCCCTAAAGAATACCCTGCTTTATCCTCTATTTTACTTACAATGGGACCATAATGTGGTGCAGTGGTAGCATTGTTGCCTCACAGTAAGAGGGTTCCTGGTTTGAACCTGGATTGGGGGGCTTAAACCCAGGGTGGGGGAGCCTCTAAATTGTCCGTAGGTGTGAATGTAAGTGTGAATGGTTGTCTGTCTCTATGTGTCAGCCCTGTGATAGTCTGGTGACCTGTCCAGGGTGTACCCTGCCTCTCACCCAATGTCAGCTGGGATAGGCTCCAGCCCCCCATGACCCCCAACAGGA